ATTTCAGTAGGTATGTGTTTTACAAGAGGGAGCGAAAATCTAGATTGCAATAACACATTTACATTGATCTTACTCTTTTATGAAATGCTAGTAAATCCATCATGGCTAAAAATGTTCTATTATTTTTAAACCGTGTAGTAGATTCTGCAAATCTTATACTGATTCTTGCACAATATGGAAAGATGCTTCTTGCTCTTCTTATGTTATCATGGGATCAGAAAATTCCTAGGCTGAAGTTTATTACTAATATCATTTCAGAAGCTTATTTATGATTCAGAAGATTTGTAGTGGGGCCGGCCCCATGGCCGAGCGGTTAAGTTCACGGGCTCCACTTCGGCAGCCCAGGGTTTCGCTGGTTCGGATCCTGGGCACAGACATGGCACCCACTCATCAAGCCGTGCTGAGGCGGTGTCCCACATGCCACAACTAGAAGCACCCACCACTAGGATATACAACTAAGTACTGAGGGGGCTTTGGGGAGAAGGAGACGGGGGAAAAAAAATTGGCAACAGACGTTAGCTCAGGTGCCAACCTTAAAAAAAAGAAAAAGAAAAAGATTTGTAGTTATGATATTTCTTAAAAACTGTAAGAAATATATGCAAACCTTGTTGTCTCTTCATTTCATGAGCTTATTTGCATGTCTTATTATAAATTCATGCATGTATAAATATCAAAGCTCTGGGCACTGACTGTTCACAACAGTGTCAAAGCATCGGCTATATAATCAAAGAAGGAACAATAGGACCAAAATAGGAGCAAGAGCGATGATGTGATTTGAAGATACTAATAAACTGGTGATTCTCCTAAATCTCAGAATGCCTTCCCGCCCAGGAGGTGGGGCTGGGAGCGCTTCTCAAATTTGCTTTCACAGCAGGCCCTCTTATCGTCACAACAGCCTACAGCTTTTGGCTGGTAAACTAAGTTTATATTAGTAGTTAATTTTATCTCTCATTACGGTTACTAAGATACAATTCACTAACTAGTACTGAAACATTTCGAGAGTCTATCCACAGGCGTGTTTACACACACGCACACAGAGTAATAGGACAAATTAAGAACAAAGAAAGTGAATCAGATTGGCAAATTTGAATGATTTCAGAAGCAAACTGAAAATCCTCCTTGCCTCCATTCCTGAAAAAAGCCTAAATGTGACCCACGGTAAACACCTTCCAGGTTGCCTCTCTGGCCCCTTGTCTCTGGGAACATCCTCCTCCCTCCCTCTGGCACCCACAGGCTTGCGAAGGGAGTAGCCCTGGTCATATGATATGCCTCCCTCAACTCCTGTCCCCAGCTTTAATTCTTTTTTTTTTTTTGAGGAAGATTAGCCCTGAGCTAACATCTGCTGTCAATCCTCCTCTTTTTGCTGAGGAAGACTGGCCCTGAGCTAACATCCATGCCCATCTTCCTCTACTTTATACGTGGGACACCTACCACAGCATGGTGTGCCAAGTGGTGCCATGTCCGCACCCGGGATCCGAACTGGCGAACCCCAGGCCGCCGAAGTGGAACTTGCAAACTTAACCGCTGTGTCACCCGCCCGCCCTGTCCCCAGGTTTAGATGCTTGTTCAGTGCACCTTGCCTAAACTGGACCAATCAGAATCCCTTCCTTAAGAATCTAGGTTTGAGACTGGTGGCCACTGGTGCTTAGGCCCTTTTGCCATGTCCTTCTGCCACGTGCAAGGAGAGCTGAAGTGAAAGAATGAAGCGGGTGCACCGAGGGAAAGCAGTCTTCTTTGAGTCCCTGGTTTTACTGTATGAAAACTAATAAACAGAAACCTCATTTAAAACGGAGTTGGGAGGCCAGAAAGGGGAGCTCTCAGGCCTTAGATGATGTCAGAGCCCGACAGTTAGAAGAAAGACTTCCTCTTCCTGCCCAAGGTCAGCCAGTGAGAGACTGTCACAACTCAGCCAGGGAAAAGCCCCTGTGCTTGGAACTCTTAATTCTTCCCATGGACTCTTTGTTTACGACAGCCCTCCCTACTTCCTCTTCCCCTCTGTGAAACAGTTTCTCCCCTTCTTGTTGCTCAGAACTTGCATGTGGCTTGCCATGGTTGCGGGTCCCAAATTGCAATTTTTTTTGTGAGGAAGATTGGCCCTGAACTGACATCTTTTGCCAATATTTCTCCTTTCTTCTTTTTTCTCCCCAAAGCCCCAGTACATAGTTGTATCTCCTAGTTGTAGGTCTTCTGGTTCTTCTATGTGGGACGCCACCACGGCTTGGCTTCATGTGGTGTGTAGGTCCGCGCCCAAGATTTGAAGTGGCAAACCCTGGCTGCCGAAGTGGACAGCGCAAAGTGGCTGGCTCCCCAAATTGCAATCCTTTGTTGATGAATGAATCCATTTTTATTGGAGAAATAACTGGCTATTTGTTTAAGGTGAACAACCGGTAGGTAATTTGCTTTTGAGGCCCTATCTGGGAACACTGAGAGGCACACCTGTATCTTTAACTACATTCCTCTTTTATTTTTTACTTTACCACATTTGGCATTTGTTATTTGCTGTGGACATACTCCTAACTGAACATTATTCCCTTAGCAAAGCTCTCACCTCTTTTTTTTTTTGTTTTTTGCTTGAGGAAGATTGGCCTTGCTAACATCTGTACCAATCTTCCGCCATTTTGTATGTGGGTCACCACCACAGCACAGCTTGAAGAGTAGTGTAGGTCTGTGCCCGGGATCTGAACCCGTGAACCTGGGCTGCCAAAGTGGAGTGTGCTGAGCTACCACTACACCACCAGACTGGCCCCAGCCCACCACTTCTTTTCAATAATGAGCCTCAAGGTCAGAAATCCTTACGTGTGGAAGCTGCATAGTTTATTTTTAGAGCAATAATGTGTTCATGGGGCCCATGCTTGGCCTGTGCACACAGGATGTGATGTAGGTCTGAGTTAAGGGCCTCCGGTGGCTTCCTAAAAACATCTCCATAATCTCTTAGTGTGTGGATGTAATTTTTTTGTCAACATCTCATAATTTTATTTGTCAATTATACCTCAACAAAGTTGAAATTTGAAAAAAACCATAGGGAGAATGTCCACCTTTGCTTTTTTTAAAAAATTAATTTGAATGACATTAAATATAAACAGCTCAAAATTATATATTAATTATTAGCTTCAGTGCTTAGAGGATGTGACCTTGTGAACAGGGCCAAGTTATGAATTATGTCTCATGACAAAAGCTCTGAGACACAGATATGCGTACAATGTGCGTTGGCTCAGCCAACAAAGGGGTACACTCACCCCGTCTGGATGGTGACAACATCAAGCAGGAAGGTCCGAGTGCTGCTTCCAGGGGGCACTGAGGCCCAAGGAGGCACCCCAAGTGGACACACCCGAAGCCAGCAGCTTTGCTGCCTCTGGGCAGCCTGGGAGGGCTCCCCCTCTGCTCCCTGGGGTGTTGGCTGCTGCCAGGTACTGTGTAGGAAAGGTTGCCCACCCAGTCCTGGCGTGTGAGCCCCTCTTCCTCACTTCCCTGCTCTCCAAAAGTTTTATACTCTGTTTCTGCAGAGAAAGTTTATAGGAAATGAATTCTCCAGATGTCTGTTAGATAAACCTCCCTTACGCTGGCGTAGATGGTCCATCCCTAGAACTGAAAGCTTGGATTCTGCTTGCAGAAGAACCGCCTGGGCAGTGGACAGAGGAGGCTAGGGGGAAAGATCGGCGGCACCGGTCTCGGGTCGGGAAGCGTTGCCTGAGGCCAGCTGTGATCTCACTTTGTTACCTAACAGACATTTAAATAGCGCCTTGTACACAAGCCAGGCGCTGTTCTAAGCTCTTTCCACATTTAACTCATTTAATCCTAACAACCTGATGAGGTAGTTACTGTTACTATCTTCATTTTACAGATGAGGGAACTGAGGCCCAGGAGGTGAGTTAACTTGTTCAGGGTCCTATAGCCGGTAATATACATGTCCCCGAAAAGCTATTTTTTAGTGAATTTTGGGACATTGAACCCTATATCTTATTTAAATACTCATATTTACAGATAGACTATAGAGAACCTTTCAAAGGGGTAGGGAATCATCTACAAATAAACTTCGGTGTGTACGTGCAAACTTGCTTCATTTGCTCTGAACTTTTGAACGCTCTAGATTTTCAGCGTCTAACACCAACCTGGGCCAGATTTTGAAGCAGGGAGAGAATTATGTAGGTGCGCACAGAAGTGGGAGCAGAGATCCAAGGCCTTACGCTTTGAAGGTTTGAGGAAGGGGAAGAGCTCCCCTCAGAATTGCGGGGCTGATTGCCTCAAGATGGGAGATTCTTTGGGCAGAGGCCGGTTTGAAGGGATGGGCCTGGGTGGGAAACGCAATTCCGGAGGGGAGAGAGAACCTCAGGGCACATATGCTAAACAATTGAGCACCCGGAACAGTCTGGGGCCCGAGTCTTCTATGACATTTTCAAGCTTATTGTTTATAAAATGGTTTCGTGGGACATTTCCTTGAGGGAAAGTTGACAGATGAGCTCCTGTTAGTTGGACTGTAATAATCAGGTAGGAAAGAAAGCTCCCTTAAGCCATTCAAGGTAAGCTTGCGGGCAAACCAGCAGGACACCAGGAGGCTGGGAAGCAGGGGTTCTCATCAAAGTCTGGAAACGTATGCAATACTGAGACTGCAGGCATAAGAATTTCTCTGGGAAGAGGGTTCTGCGCTGTCACAGAAGCTGAGGGACACGAAGCGGTGCAGGATCCCTGCCCTACACCATCTCATCAGAGACCCTGAGCAGTCCACGCAGAAGGGTCGGGGAAGAGCGGCAGTTTGGCAGCATGACTTCTGGTTTTAGAGGACGCGAGAAAGGCCGGGCTCTAGGAGATGCTCCTTTGCCCTCACCGGATCCCTGGGATCTACACAGCACAAGGGACGTCCCCGTCCGCCCTGCAGCAAGAGTTCAAGACCCGCTTCTTCAAAGCCCACCTCCCAGCAGGCCCACCCCGGGGCGTGGCAGGCTCGAATCTGCTCCCAGGCCCGGCGCGGAGGCCGCAGCGGCTAACTAGCTGGGGCCACCGCGCCTTGCACCCTCCTTCTCTGCCTCGGGGAGTGACGGGACTCGCCCCGGCGGCGGCCGCCTTGCCCCGAGGGGCGCGTGCACTCGTTTTTCCGGCGGAGGGAGCGCGGCTCGCTGCGCGCTGCGTCCTACAAGAAGCACTGACGTAGGGGAGGGCCGGCAGTCGGCGCGGGAGCGGCCGGCGCTGGTTGCGCTGTGTCTCGCTGTGGTGTCGCGGTAGCGCGGGGCGGACGGCCGTGCTGGCCCCAGGGCGGTGGTCGCCGTCGCAGCGGCGCCCTCGGCGGAGAGGGCCGAAGCGGCCGGCCGAGCTGGGGATGGGGAGGGCCGGGTCCCGCATCTCTGCCGGGCGCGCGTGCGGCTCCGAGCGCGCACAGTGACGGCGACGGCGCCCCTGGCCCGGCAGCGCCGAGGCCGCTTCGCCAGGGAGCCCGCGGCCGGCGGCGGCCGGGCCATGAAGAGCGGGCGAGGCCCGGTCAGGCCTCGCTGACCCCGGCCCCGCGCGGCGGCCTCCCCCGTTTCCGCTCCGGCCTCTCGGCATGAGCGTCCGCCCGGGCCCGGGGCCCCGGCTGCCCCAGTCTGGCGGCCCGCGGGGGCGCTGCGGGCCGGCGGGCCCGCGGTGCTGATCCCGGCCCGCTGCGCTGCCCCCTCGCCCGCTGTGTGCCCCGGGGGCGCGGTCATGGAGGTGGTGGGCGACTTCGAGTACAGCAAGAGGGACCTCGTGGGACACGGGGCCTTCGCCGTGGTCTTCCGGGGGCGGCACCGCCAGGTGAGCCGCCGGCCGGGGCGCGGCCCCCGGGCTGGGCCTGAGGCGCGGCGCCGAGGCCCGCCATTGTGCGCGCCGGCCGGGGCGCGGGCTCTTTCGGTCGGGCGGGGTGGTTGTGCGGCCGGAGCCGCCCCTCCTGCCGGCGCCTGGGACCCGGAGCGCCCTGAGGGCTTCGTCCCCTGGCCTGCCCGGGGAGCCCGGCCTCCCGAACGTGCCCCGCGTGCGAGAGGGCTGCCCGGCGCCCTGCACGGCCCGGGGCTCGGGCGTGGACGGACCTGGGGTGTCGCCTTCGAGGTCGATAACTGCAGACCCAGCGGAAAACGGGCTGGTTTCCCGTGAGCCCGCGGCGTTCTCGAACCCGGGGGTGTCGCGTTTCCCAGCGCTGGTCCTCCACCTGCCCCCCCCGGGGCTGAGGCGGGCGGCCTCCGAGGGGAGGAGATGGTTGGACGCTCCCTTTTTCAGTTCAGATAAACGCGAAAGCAGGTTCGGCATTTTTGTTTTTTCTTTTTTAAGCTTTTGCTCTTTCGCAAGTAGGGTCACACGAGGTTTTAGAATCTGAAGAATTTGGAGAGGCACCTCGGGAGTGGAACTGATCCTAACGGGGGTGGCAGGTCTGGTGGCTGCCAAGGGGCATGTTAAAAGTGGGCTGGCTTTGTTGCTTCTCAGAGTAATAAATGCTACTTAGTTTTCATCTATTATGAAAATAGGTTAAAACTCAAGAAAACGGTAGTTAAAACTCGGTTTAATCCTGCCAAGCTGTCAGATGTGTTTTCGGTTAACCGTACCATCTTCCAGCTTCTCCGCATTTCTCCGCAACTGTTAAATGGTTGGAAACTGTTCTTTTTTCTCTCAACGCTGGTTGCTATGTGGTCTTCATATTTATCATGTTTGGTGGCTGTCTTGTAGGACATTAGCTTGTTAATCGTCGTAATTTATGAAGTCATTTTCCTGTTGTTGGAGATTCAGGTTCTTTAACGTTTTTTTTTTTTCCTCAGTGCTGTACATGAATTTGCTGAAAACATCGTTATGTTTATAGGTTTTTTTCCCTGTTGAGTTATTTCTGTGGAGTAATTTTCAGAAGTAACACTGTTTTTTCTTTTCAGAAAACTGATTGGGAGGTAGCTATTAAAAGTATTAATAAAAAGAACTTGTCAAAATCACAACTACTACTTGGGAAGGAAATTAAAATCTTAAAGGTATGTTTACTTAGGTGATATTTCGTACCAGGTTAAAACTTACTGTAAGTTAAATGAATGCATGATGACATCCTTTACAATTTTGGTATTTGGAGCCAAGTTTGAGAGTTTTCACCTGTTGCTCATTTTTGCACGCTCTGTTTTTTGAAACATTGAGTACTCAGAAGATATTTTTAAAAAACAGAAGTTTGTGGCTCTTGGTCAGTGGTTGGACAGAGTCTGTGGAAACTGATTTTAGCTTTTCATAATTTCTTTTCTTCTTTCCCGGAGTTGTGTTATTGTTTGAGAAGAGGCAGGCCCCTGTTGTATGTTACTTACCTCTTCTGTTGATGCCTTTCGTGTTAGGTGTGCTCTGGGACGGAGAGCACTTGGGGCCTTTTTTCCTTATAAACTGAAGAAAGTTATTTTCCTTGGAAGTGGTCTTTTGAGATCACGCACTAGCACTGTTATCAAGTAAGATGTTTTGAGGAAAAAAAGCGTCCTGTGGTCAAATAAGTGTGGAAAATCCTGTTTTCTAAGGACCTAGAGAGTCACAAAGTGTTTAGCCCATTAAAGAAAGTCTGAAAAATTACTCAATGAAGAAACTAGTTTAGGTTTATTTAACCCAGTGTTTCCCAAACTAATATGAACATGGAACCCTCATCTAACACCAGCTTTCATCAAAACTACTATCTGTGGGCAGCGCTTTGGTAAGAATTAGCTCTTTGAGCTAAGAATTATACTTTGTTTTCTTTCAGGCAAATAATGTGCTTTTTAAACCACTTTGGAGTTTAATGCCTCTGTTGTTGTTAGAAATTGTGTATTATATTGAAAAGACCAGCAGAAAGCCTATGGTTATACTAACTATGACATTTATTTTGTAAACAAGAGTACTCGCCTTGTTAAGAGTCTGAAAAATGGTGGCGAAAAAATATTTAGGTCCCAAGTAAAGTTTAATCAGGCACATTTCTTCATATTCTTTAGTAGATTGAATTGTCCTAATCTTGTATCAAGGTGTACTAAACTAGAAATAGAATATGTGTATATATATGTGTATGTATGCTTAAATTAATTTTTATTTGCATATTGAAATATATTAAAGTTATCAGAATATATACAAATGTTTTGAATTCTCAATTTTCTTAACAGGAACTGCAGCACGAAAATATTGTAGCTCTCTATGATGTTCAGGTACCTTATTTTGCATTTAAAAAAATTGTATGTCTGTTAATAAAAAAAGTTTTTTTTCTGTTTCATTCGAATTAAATGAATCTTACTGGAAATAGAAAATTGCCTTATTGTTGAAAGATACGTCACTTGAGTTACATGTTTATTAAGAAATTGTTTAAAATAGCATAGAACAATAGGATAAAATAAATAATGTGCTGCCTGAGTAAACTTATTTACAAGTCTTAATATACTGTAGGAGTAGTGTTGTTTTAGGTCAAGTAGAGGAATATTGATACCAGATCTAGCATTTCTGTGATAAATATAGAAAGGACTATTCTGGGCTATTAAAAAATTAGATAGAGCTTTGTTATTATTGCAAAAGCAACATTTGCTAATTGTAGAGATGTTAGAAAATAAACTAAGAACAAGGAAACTCTGCATGTTCATCACCCAGGTATGTCTGTGATTTTGCCCTTGGATACAGTAGAGTTGCGTTTTATCTGGAGGTGGGAACGCTGAGTTCTGAAGTTATCTTCTAAGGCAGCATTTCTATATAGTCAAAATTACCTTTGAAAATTCTTTTAAAAAGCCCAACTTTGGAGAAAGTTGCCATTTTTGGGTGGAGCACCAGAGCAAGTAGTTGGCTTATATTTAGGGGCCATACTGTGCTTAGAAAAACTTCCTTTAAGCCCTAGACTCACACTTGGCCAGTGTGGTACTCGCCCTGTGAGAGCCCCGGGCTCCGAGATCTACCGAGAGACAGCAGGTGCCGCGTTTCCCTCCACTCACACCAAGGCACGCCAGGGTGCATGGTCTACACGACTTCCTTCTTTTGTTTGGCTTAATCTGGACAGTTGAATGCCAGTAAAGTCAATGGATGTGTTATGTGATTCTGCTGATGTATTTCTAGCTAGAATCTTTTCTGTTTACACTTGGCATTACTCAGATTCATTCGTTTTGTAAGGTTTTGAGTGGCTGGTATGTGCCAGGCATTGTTCTGAGTGCTAGGAATAAAGCAGTGAGTAAAACAAAGTTCTTGCTCTCGGTGTGCTTAATTTTAGTGGGGTGAGACAAAATGAACTGTTCCATATGTACTTTTTAATATAGTCATTTTTCATGTAGTCATATCACACCAAAGTGTTTAACTACACCCATGTTATAAGACGTTTAGATTTTTACCATTATAGAAAAATCCCTTGACGATAATATATACTTTCTGAATATGTCTGATTATTTCTTTTAAGTTCAATTTCTAGAATTGGAATTACCAGGGCAAATAGCATGCACAATTTTAAAGTTTTTGATTGTAGCATGTGATTATTCTCTAAAAAAATTGCAATTTAAAGTCCATGCACAGAATATGTGAGAGCTGCAGGTGTGTTTTATACCTGTTTAAATAGGTGTAACTTGTTCCTTCATTTGAGAAATTCAAAGCAGCATAGAAAGAAAGGGGAAAAAAAGTTTAAAGTAAAAACTAAACACATCTCACAATCTCTAGTTGAAATGTGTGAATTCTCCACAGAGTTATTTGTGGAGTTTGTCTTAGTCTCTATAGATAGAGGGCACCAAGTGGTACCAGTCAGTGCCTGGTACAAAAATTGTTAAATAATATTAACACTTAATTTCCCATTTTTTGAGAGGTACAGAAAACCCTGTCAATTGCAGAGTAGGTTTTGCTTTCTGAGTAGAGAGTATACTTAGATTTTGTCTATCACAATGAAAAATATTAAGTACTAGCTTTGGTTGTAGAATGAGATATTGTTAGGGAGAACATGTACTCTTGAGCATTTGGCTATCAAGTAAATGGTCTTGATCTAATATTTTAGATTTGCTTCCTTGAAGGGGTACAGTGTGTTTGTAGAGGCCAGTACAGTAGTTTTATCAACTTGAAATGAACATAGTTTTTACTGGCCATCAACTTTGGAGATCCATCTAAAGTTTATGGACACACTTTTATAAATTGAGGCCTTTTGACATTGTTTATAAGCATCAAGTTTCAGTTTAGATGACACTTAAAAAGAAAAACACGTTTTCCCTAATTACAAAAGTAATATATGTCCGTAGTTAAAGTAATCAAACATTGTCAAAATGAAGTAATTCAAAAAGAAATGGCAATTCCTAGAGATAACCACTCTTGTATTTTTTTTAGAGTTTTCTAAATACATATATGAATTTATAGTCATTTATACTTGGGTTTTTAAGTTTTTCATTGTGAGAGACTTATTAATAGTGTTTTTACAGAAACAACTTGTTTTACTAAACTTAATGTATCTTGGATAACTTTTCATATTAAGTATAATACTGTAGGGCTAAATGATAATTTATTTACTTGAAACCTGGTTGTGGCCATTTGAGTTGTTTATTTTTCCCTATTAGAAACAGTGCACAGAGAAAGTTTTGTACATACATCTTTGCTTATTTGTATGAGTGTGCCTGTAGAATAAATTCCTTGACTTGGAATTACTTGGTCAAAGAATTTACCATGTTGCCTTCCAAAAGATTGTACCAATTTATTTTGACCAATAATGACCTGTCGGTTTTTCTTTTCTTTTTTTTTTTACCATCTCATGTGAGGAAAATATCGTAATTAAATTAATTAATTAATTTTTGGTGAAGAAGATTGGTCGTGAGCTAACGTCTATGCCAATCTTCCTCTTTTTGCTTGAGGAAGATTTTTGCTGAGCTAACATCTGTGCCAGTCTTCCTCTATTTTTTTATGTGGGATGCCACCACAGCATGGCTTGATGAGTGTGGTTTGATGAGCGGTGCTAGGTGTGCGCCAGGGATCCGAACCCACGAACCCTGGGCCTCTGAAGTGGAGCATGTGAACTTAAGCACTATGCCACCTGGCCGGCCCCCTAACCCGGAAGCTTTTGGAAGCCTGTCTGTTTGGATTTTTAGGGAGGCTTCTTTATACAGTTATGCAGTATGTAATGATGGTGGTCCCATAATATCAGTACCTTATAGCCTAGGTGTGTGGTAGGCTATACCATCTAGGTTTGTGTTAGTACATTCTATATGATGTTCCCACAATGACAGAATTGCCTAAAGACGCGTTTCTCAGAACGTATCCCTCTAGTTAAGTGATGCATGACTGTGTAGGTACAGTTGATTAAATCATTGGCCATTGGTGGTTGAAACTGAACCTCTAGATCGTTTCCCCTCTCCAGAGGTCAGCGGGTAGGACTGAAAGTTGCAACCCCCTAATCGTATGGTTGTTACCCTGGGAACCAGCACCTGTCCTTAGGTGACCTGGGGACTTTCAGAAAGTGACTTCATTAACATAGCAAAAGACCTTTATCACTCTCATTGCTTAGGAAATTCCAAAATTTTAGCTTTGTGCCAGGAACAGGGGCATAGACCAAATATATATTTCTTATTATAAATCACAACCTCACGTATGTATTCTGAATATTTTTGAAATCTTTAGTGTGATTAGCATTATTGAGATAGAGATTAAGGAAAAAGTTTTTCTGCAAACTTAATGTTGGTTTGTGTCAGGTCAGTAAACTAGGACTGGCTTTCGTAGATTGTTTTTGCATCTCTGAGTTTTTTCGAGCATGATCTAAGAGGAAGCGTCCTGGATGGGAATAAGGAAAGCTGGGTATAGAGTACTATTTCTATATCAAGCTCAATTTAGGAAGTCGAGCAAGCCACTTCTTGTCCTTTTTACCACCACCCCCTCAGTAAAGTGCGGGTGATAATCCGACCCTGTTTACTCTTGGGATAATATGAGGTTATTTAGTACGAGGTAACCCCCTGGGGGGGGGGGGGCTTAGTCTTAGGACTGCAGGAGAGTGGTGTTTCTTTCTTCTTTTTCTGTGAGATAACCTGTAGCAGTTGCCAGAGGGGTAGAGAAAGAATTAGGGAAAGTAGCAGAGAAATGTGAAGTATGGATGTAGGAGACAGGAATTTTTCCTTCAATCTTTCTCTTGCTATTTACTTAATTCTTTTGTTAATTTGTATTTCTCGAGTTCTGCTTCTTTGAATTCTGCTGGAGAGAACCATCTACTCATGCTGACTTTTTAAATTCACTTTATCTTTATTATTTTTTAAATTACAAAAGTAATAGGCCCTCAGTAGAAAAACAGTTCAAGTGGTCTAACAGTATAAAAAGTGAAAAAGAGAGACCCTCTTTTGAGAACTCTGTTTCCTTTTTCCAGAAGAAACCACTGTTGTGTGCTTCAAGACTTTTTTTTTTAAAAATTTTTATTGAGTTGATGATGGTTTACAACCTTGTGAAATTTCACTTATACATTATTGTCTGTCAGTCGTGTTGTAGGTGCACCACTTCACCCTTTGTGCCCACCTCCCCCGCCCTTCCCTTGGTAGCCACTAATCTGTTCTCTTTGTCCACATGTTTAACTTCACTTGTGAGTGGAGTCATACAGAGATTGTCTTTCTCTATCTGGCTTATTTCACTTAACATAATATCCTCAAGGTCCATCCATGTTGTTGTGAATGGGGTAATTTTATCCTTTTTGAATGGCTGAGTAGTATGCCATTGTATATATACACCATATCTTCTTTCTCCAATCATCAGTTGATGGGTACTTCGGTTGCTTCCATGTCTTGGCTATTGTGAATAATGCTGCAAGGAACATAGGGGTGCATGGGACTTTTGGAATTGCTGACTTCAAGTTATTTGGATAGATACCCAGCAGTGGGATGGCTGGGTCATATGGTATCTCTATTTTTAATTTTTTGAGAAATCTCCATACTGTTTTCCATAGTGGCTGCACCAGTTTGCATTCCCACCAGCAGTGTATGATAGTTCCTTTTTCTCCACAACCTCTCCACCATTTGTTACTTTTTGTTTTGGTTAATTTTGACATTCTAATGGGTGTAAGGTGATATCTTAGTGTAGTTTTGACTTGCATTTCCCTGATGATCAGTGATGATGAGCATCTTTTCATGTGCCTATTGGCCATCCGTGTATCTTCTTTGGAGAATGTCTGTTCATGTCTCCTGCCCATTTTTTTATCGGATTGTTTGATTTTTTGTTGTTGAGTTGTGTGAGT